AACAGAAACACTTTGCCGCAGATATTCTTAACTGCTTATTACTTGACTGCATCACATGCTGTACATATACGTCATTTACATGTAATTTTGTGGTTTGTTGGTGATTTTTGATCCACATTTTCCAGGGGGTCATTGCATCCTTTTAGTCCTATTCTTCGTTTGCACTGTCACGCTATAAAAAATATTCGAAGATCATTCAGTAGATAAAGTCAAGACATTATATTGCTATAGGTTTTAGGTCTGAATGTTTTCCCAAACTTCAAATATTCGTTGAAGTATTTTGCACAAATTTACGGAGCCAAGTATGGAGCTGCCATGTTGGTGTACCTTCTGCCTTCATGGTACACCAACATGGTGGCTGGAAAAAAGTGTAAACATCTGGACCTTACTTCAATTGGCTATCAAGGTAACTGATTATCTGAACTGATCAAGTAAACATTTGAATATGCACTTAACATAATACTTTTAATTAACTTCTAAAAAGGCTAAAAATCATGAGATAAGTATATAGATGTTTTGAGAAATGGGTTCGTAGCTTTATGTCACACACTGCCATAACTCTGAAATTCAAAATGTGCTTGTTTCCAGACGAAGCAAGCTATTAAGCTGAAAAGTTGTCAACTGGTATAAATTAACCCCCTCTTATGTCTGGTGAGGATAAAAACTTTGGTGGCTCTTTAGTTTTGGAATTTAGGAAATGATGACGTCACTTGCAAACAAAGAATTTGAATGACCTTGTGAACCCTTTGGGAGAGGATTGCCATCAGTGAAATTAAACTTGTCCTGAAGTGCATGGTTTCCTAGTTAATACTTCAAATTCCTTTGTCAGAATTAAATTTGTTTATTTGAATATTTATTTATCATTGTTTGTTTGCATTGGTCCTGAAAAGCCCCAATGGGGAGTGGCAATTAAGTATACATTACATTACATTACATTACAATTAATGTCAGTAGTACTAGAACACAACTTTTCTATAAGAATGTTATACAATTATATTAATTTTATTGACTGCATCAATTCTATTTTAATTTTTCAGTCTGTCATTGAGCAGTATAATTACAAAGGTAAGGAACTATTTTTTACTTGTATTAAAACGAGTACTAACTGGGCTGAAAAGGGTTGTATAAAATACATTTTGAAAACTGGCATAATCAATGTCATATCCAGGACTGCTTGAAATGGGAGAGGAATAAGGCAAAGAGATGAAGAACCCTCCCTTGTTCATAAATGAACAATGGGGGAGGTGGATGGAGCCTTTACTCCTCTAATAAAGAGGGTGGGGGACATATAATTATCAGCCCTTCTAGCATTAGGGGGGAGGTGCAGTGGCCTCATGGCTACTGGAATCGTGAGCCCCACTCCGGATGGAGTGGTCCGGGTTCAAGCCCTGGCCTTGTGTTGTGTTCTTGGGCAAGACACTTCATTCTCTCAGTGCCTTTCTCCACCCAGGTGTATAAATGGGTAGCAGCGAATTTAATGCTTGGGATAACCCTGCAATGGAGTAGCCCACATCCAGGGGGAGTAGAAATACTCCTAGTCACTTCACGCCACAGAAACTGGGATAAGCTCTGCCTGATGGGTCACTTGGCTCATACAGACTTCACCTTTACATAAACCTTTACCTCTAGCCTTACATCAGTAGCACCAGTACTCATTCTGCTCATTTGATAATATAGATTTACTTACATGTACATGCATAATATGTGAACAGGCAGTGAGAAGGATGAAGATGGGTTCTACTTCAAAGGAAACACTTCTGTGCCAAGTTATCACAGGACAGAGGAATTACAGGAGCCCTCTGAAAGCTGGGACAATCATGGTAACTACTTCAGTTTGATCATCAAGTAACTGCAAACAGTTTTAGAAAATGTTATGCATGTTTCCAATAAAATGAATAAATAAATATCTTAACTGACCACNCTATATATCAGGGTTGAATATTCCATTCTGAAGGGCAACTAGGCTCAACAATAGGAAAAAATCAAACATTTCAATTGTGTCAAATATTTTTACATGTAAAGCGTACCACAGCACATGTATGAAAGTACTGTTTGAAAACTTTTGTTTGAATGGTTCCAAAAGAGGGATTTATCCAGAAAAAGTAAATATTTTTGGTAGTCGATTACCACCTTGTGAGACATACATCATATTCCCTGCACACTGTACAGTAGTTCATGTAATAAATAGCATTACTTGGAAAATGCTCAATAGACATGAAGCCTCCATTAAATTAATGTTCACACTGTAGGGTTTCTTGACTTGGTCCTCTGAATCTTGGTGATAATTAATATTCATATCTGACTGATCTGTCAAATAATATTTTTCAGTTTAAGTCCAGAAGAACGAGAAAGCTACAGGCGTCAACTTAGAAGAGAAGCTGCTTCGAGAAGTTCAAAGTAAGATACTGCAGTCATTAAAGACTAATTTGCCCCCTGGGCATCCCATAATAGCTATATGAAACAATAGAATTCGAAATGGTCACTGTATTGCTGAAAAGGTCAGTTAACAGTATACATGTACCATTGCAATATTACGTCTCCATACTGACTGTGACTGTGTTCTTGTGATATTGGGAGGGAGGGAGAATTTTGATTTCTAGTTAAGACTTTTTCCTGAGGTAGTGAAGTGCTCACCCACCCACCCCAGGGGAACTCCAATTAAAAGGATGGGGGTGCACATTGTACCCTTTAGGGGTTAAAAAGGCGGTCTTGATACCTCTTAGGGTGTTTAGCCTCAAAACGTCCACACTGGGAGCTTTTGTGGTAACTTTTAGGATATTGAGCCGGAAAAAATATTAGAGGAGACATTTGGCAATCAATTGATTTATGGTGATTAAAAATAATGGAAGTGTCAGCTAATGTGTAGTTTCAGAATTGGTATGTCTTAGGGGTGAAAAATTCAAGCCACGCCTACAAAGCAGGATCTTAGTATCTGTTGGGGGATCTTTTCAAAATTTTCGACGAACATGCCCGTCCTTTTTATATGGGATTCCCCCCCAAGGGGGATGGGTGGGGGGGGGTGGGGGTGCTTACAGGTGCGTATATTTCTCATCACCTTTCTGTTTGAATTTTTTTTTGAACAAGAAGGCTGTGAGAAGTCAGGAATTGTTTGACTTTAATTTCAGTCCTGGAATGCAACTGCCATCAAGAATGTGTGCGACGTCTCAAGGATATAACACGAACTTAGAAAACGTTCATGGACAGCAATATTCACCTTCCTCAAACCCTGTCTTCCGTCACTGTGTCCAACAAGGTGCAATTTCAAGTTCATCACAGCAGCAAGGACGTTATGATTCAAACTTCTCTCAGGTAGATTCTGTTGGGTATGGTGTGTCCAGACCAAAGAACCCGATATTCCAATATTGTATTGAGAAGATGCAAGGTGAAGCTCCACAAACCCATTCATCATCACCCGTGTGCCAGACATCTAGTGAACAATACATAACGCAAGTTAGTCACGGTGATAGGAACCTTGTAACACCTTGTGTCTCGAGTAACAGCTACACAAATGATTTTCCACCTTCCCCGCCTACGGACACCAACCCGCGATTTAAAACGAGTGGTTTCAGTGTGACCGAAATGGAAAACAAACTTAAACTAGCTGAGAATGTTAAACCAGATGTAGCTGCCGTCTCTAATGTGTGTGGACAGCCGACCTCGCCCACTTCCAAAGGTGTGAATGCTCCTCATTTAGCAGGGGTTGGTAGGGCCAGGCTCCACGCGGAAGCCAGGAAGAATAATTTTGGTGGAATCTGCTTCAGCACCACAAGGGCCACAGGTAAATGTTTATTCTGTTTCGTAGTCAACCTCTTCATGCCCTTCATTTGAAATTTAGTCACAACAAAATTCCAATGTCGTCCAGTATGACTATCGTCACTGTCCTTTCTCTTCATAAGCATTTCTTTAACTTCTGCCTTTCACAGACTGTCATTGCAGACTTATTTATTTATTTATTTTTTTTATTTTTTTAATTTTTTTTTGAGATTTTATTTGGTCACAGATTTAATGCGGTTACTCTTAGTCAGTACTGTTTTTTGTTTCTTTCTTTTCTCTTTTGAGGTCTTTCGTAGGGGTTTTTCGGCTACGGGATATCTGTGGGGAAAAAATTAATGGTTCAGGGGATATTTAAGTCAGATAAAACGAAATATCAAGCAGGAAAATTGTTAGTTTTTGAAATTTAAATTTACGGGATGCAGGATATTTAGGACTTTCAGAAATTATCGGTATTGGTATGGGATATCAAGACCCTCTAATGGGGCCTCTCTTTTCTGCGAACCGAACAAATAATTACCAGATAAGATAGATAAACATCAAAGATGTAACAACAAGCTAAAAGGGAAAGAGCCGGGTGAAAGTGCCAGTAACCCCCAATTTTTTTTCCTGTAATAATATCTACTAGTTTCCCTGATTACAACACATATTCCTTGCATTCTGCAACGATTTTGACACACACTATCGCATGTTCGCATACATTCAGAAACAAAACTTTGTTATTCCCAAAATGACGTCAAGCCAACTCGTTCCATTCTCCGATATTCCTTGGTCGTGAACATGGAAAAAAAGTAAATTTAACAAACTTTGATAATTCATACCAAGTTAACGAAAATAGCTACAACGACAATTTTTTCGCAGTGGTGATCAGGAGAAAAAGGAAATTTATATTGGCAAAAAAAAAAAATTGGAGGGTTAGTGGCACTTAAAGATTGCGGAAGCTCTGGTCGGATTTATAATTATACGGAAGACGAAACATTTCAACACGTACAATCCATAGCGAACTCAGTTGAGGATCGCTTTGGTCTAGCTTGATTTAGCTTGATTTAGCTTGAAGTATTCTTGATAATTTCCTCTTTTTTCCGTTTGTTTTCAAAATAAATTCAGGAAATGAAACCACAAGAACACCAACCGCTGGAAGAGGAAGGGGCATTTTGAATGTCATGTACTCATCATAAAATGTCCCATTAACACAACACCTACGAAAAAGGAAGAAAAAATCTCACGTAATTATCATGAGGTTGCCCCCTGAACACAACATAGACAACTCCAAAAGTACGTGTATTACGAAACGGACGTTTTGTTGTCGATCAGCTGAACATTGTGTTACAGTTCAATAGAGATATTGGCAACGTTTTCAAGCTTGTTATTTTTCTTAAATTGTTTCCTGTTTCGTTATGGTTTATTTAGATTTAGATTTCATAAATGTTGCAAGCTCTTCAGCTGAAGTCTTCATTCTGTCCATGTGTTATTTATGCTGTTATTTGAACAATATTTGGAAGACGCAAAAGTTTCAGACAAGTGGCCACAGACAACGGTTGACTCTTCAGGTTTTGTGATGAAACTGCTCTTCGTGTTTACAGTCCAAAAAGCGCTTCAAACGAGTATTTTAATCACCCGGAACCGGCTTGACAGGTTGCTTGTACTCTTCTTTGTTCTCCTGAGCGCACGCGTTGCAGAGCATGGGAAACGTCTTGTTTTCGAAAGAGAAAAACGTTGAATTATAAATCTCATTTCGTTTTATTAAGCTCGTCATTTGTATTTTGACTCGCCATACGGACTCGCTAACATATGGCCAGACTCAGAAAATGTACAGCGATACAACAAAGTAAAGTGACTGAGAAATATATATTGTATTTGAAGTACTTTATAGGTCGGAGTTATCTGACCTGATGTGTGACTTTAAGTTCAGAAATGGATGACAGAAATAACCGGAAAGAGCGGACAAGTACAAATTTGGCCGAAACTACGATTTCTAGCTGTGAAACGGATGAAATCAACTGTGCGATACCCAAAAATAGATCTATGCCACAGTGTTTGCTGTTTTCAAAACAACAGCGTGTAACCTACGCACAAACTCGAAACTGGGGTAAACGGGTCACGGAAATTACCGGAATAGCGCAGGAAGACAAATCTTGCCAAAAACTGCACGGCGTGTCGCTGTGAAACGGATGATGTTATTTGAAAACGACTTGTTTCATCCGTTTTACCGTGATATCCCGTTGCAAGGACGGTGAATTTGCCATAGATCTTGAAACAACAGTGCAGTTGTCACGGGACATGACTGGACACGTCACGCCTCCCAAGTCGAACAGACAGCAGGTGGGAACGTGACATAACTCTCATGGGCTGATGATCAGGGCGGCCGGACTTTGACCGTCCATTCACCACTCACGTGCCAATATTTAAATTTACAAGGTGAAGTTGTAAAAAGCCGTCAATGAATGGCATTATCAATACTGCCTGTCGACATCCTGTTTCTCGAGTTAAATCACGAGCGGTAAACTTTCGTGGAGTTTTGAACGTTCGAAGACGCACGAATTAACCTCGCAATGGCTTCATTTGCTGTTATGGTTGTCCGCGTCTGGGATTTGTATGTGACAAATTCTATTTTGACTGGGTGGCTGCTCTCGACAATCAATACTTACAATTCAAGTTTATTATGCGCTTGGATCATTTTCCTGTGTGATTTGGTTTACATAATGGACGCCTTGGCGAGGACTAGTAAAAACTCTCAACATTCTTCCAGCTGGGCGTCACTACTTCTCAGTGGACAGTCCGGGACAATTCTGGCAAACTTTATCACCGTTGTCAAGTTTGTAACATTCATCCCGTACCATGTTTTGGTTATTTTAGAGCTGGATATTTATGGTGTTTACCTGTTAGTGTGCTCGCTTCGGGTTATACGACTTCTACAGTCCGGTAGACTGTACGTTCATGTTGCCTGGACACTGACGAGCCTAGCAAAGAACGGAGGACTTTTGGCACAAAGTGTAACATGGAGCCGCCCTTCGCATAAACCCGGGAATAAAGTACGAAAGACGAAGAGGGAAGTTCGTATGAAGAAAATTGTACAAAGCTCACCGTTTATGAACCACATGCAGCGTCTTTTAGCCAAAGACATAGACGCAAGACTTTAAGTTAGCTGGGATTTGTTTGTTTTCTGCTCAGTGTGTCTTCTACAGTTAGAGCTTGTTTCGCAGTTTTAATTGACATGTTTTTTTGGGTAGTCTTTTTTCTAAAAAATTCTGGTTGACCCAGTTCTGCTTTCTAACACCCTTTGTTAACGCAGTGCTGTGCAAATCTCGCACTAGTTTGGCGTGTCCCCTTAAGGTAGCCCAGAAGCGATGACTGCCGGCTTCATTTGCAGCCCATACCCGATAAAGTTTACTGTACACAACAGTACAGGTCACCGTTCACCTGTAAGCCATTTAGTTCAGATTCTCGGCGTTTTTTCGTTTCGATAAGAAACAGTGGGCAGTCGTATATCGACTGTTCAAAGGTCAAGTATTTCAGAAGTTAAGAGCCTTTGTACAATTTACGGCTTGTAGTTATAAATGGCAAGTTAAACGCAATCGTTTGTCATTGCGTCATATTCGTAGGACGCTTCTTTCATATAAATTTATGGACAATTTTTTTGTACATCAACAAAATAGCGAGATCAAAACATTGTTATGGTTACTTTTTTGTTGTATTGTAGTAGAAAACGATGACAGGTCTCGCTTTGAATGTTGACAGATCGTCACGACAACCCGTATTTTTGAAACGTTGATTGTATTTGAATTCGGAAAAACACGACCAATGCTGGATACGACAAGCGACATCGTTGTTGCTATTTTTTCCGACTAGGGAGGTAAAGTATTAATCAGATATCGACAATATTCCAAATGTTGAAAATTAGATGACACTTCTTTCCCCGCCCCATTTGGGCAGCTTTTCAAAATGATACACGGAATCGAAAAGAAAATGATTTTAGCGGATGGGAAATCACTGAATTAACCAACTCAAAAATCTGCTAAAGGTATTTAGAGAACAAGGCATGGAAAGTTCTCCAAACTTCCTTCCGTGCAGTAAGGAATTTTTTCGCATCGAATATGGCTAATCAGTATTTAAATCAATATTAATTAATCAGTGTAAAGATGCTTGTCTATAATTATTGTATTTATTATGGAGAAATTATATATTTTGTCTAGACAAATGAATAGATGTTTGCATTCTTCAAAGTTCTTTCGCAATCGTCCGAAAAAAAGCTTCTTGGGACATTTCCCAACAACGCCCTTCTTGTAAAACAATTGACTTGAGTCGCGCAATATTTCCGACAAAATTTAACATATTACTCGTGTAATGAGCATTTGTAATCTCGTGTAAATTGTATATCCCTTGAAGTGGGCGCGGGCGTATTTTGTTTGCGTTTAGTTTTTTTCGCGCATTTTACAGAATTCGTGGAACACTTATTTAGACACTTGTAAATTGGCAGGAATTCTGAATCAAAAGGGTATTGAAATTGTCCACGAAATCTCGCGTTTTACTTTCCTCTTGGAAGAACGGGGACTGTTTTGGAGTTTGGCATCAGAGTATGGGCTTGTTTGCGGCTGCAAATCTCTATTCAGTTCTGCTACGTTGCAGGGTAGGCAGGATTTGGTAGAACGTTTATACAGTTTTTTTGAATTTCAGTTTTTTTTTTCTCTGATCACTATAGTATTCACCATAGAGAAATTAAAGCCATCTTCTTTGTCAGGAGTAAGCGATCAGTGAGGAAGGTGAAATTTAGGAGTGAAACTCCACTGCCAGACTGAAGGATTACACTAGTGGCTGATGGCACCGCTACGTCGTAATTTAGCGGAAACCAACAAAAGAAACATTAAAAAAGAAAAAATGCATTCAGTGACTTATTTTTAATAAGCTGAGCTGAGGTTAATGTACGTTCCGAAACAAGGAATGCATTCCTGACAAACAGCGCTGAACTTTGCACGTTTACAAGAACGAAAACCATTTCTTGTCCACGCATTGGTCAGCAACACAATGATACAAATCAAAGAATTGGAAAACAGCAACAAACAAAGAGATTAACTTGCACTTACTGAATAAAACCGTGCGTGCTGAAGTGAATAGTTTATACGACAACTCTCAGTTCCGTCGGAAATTTCATCCGTTCGACGATTTTACTCAAAGTTCCTTTCCAACTGTGATGGCGCGGGGAGTATCTAAACAATGGGACCTGTTTGTAGTGCACTCGATTTTGACGGGATGGTTTTTGTCTGAGATCAACACTTTCAACTCTAGCATTCTTTTCGCTTGGCTGGTCTGCCTGTGTGATTCGGTTTATAGCATAGATGCTCTAGCAAGGACAAGCAAGAAAACGCGTCTTTCAAAGGTTTTTGCGAAGGGCTTCTTTGCCGCTTTTTCCCACGACCTCCCGGCATATTTTCCCATGATTCTAAGCTGCATACCGTACCATATATTGGTAGTTCTTAGCCTGGATATTTCTGGTGTTTATTTCGTTTTATGCACGCTTCGGGTAGCACAGCTTCTGAGAGCTGGCCGAATTCATGTTCATTTGGAGTCAGTCTGTCAGTCTATGAAGAAAAGAATTCGGGAAGCCTTTAGCAGAAACGGAAAAATGAAGATGGAAACACTTAAAGGAAAGAAACGCGGCAACTGGAAGTTATTCTCAAATGACAAAGACGGAAACTTTCTTAAACGTTACAATTCACACCCTTAGAGGTCATCAGTTTTTAACCGCTTTTGAAACATTGTATTTTTTAGTCAGAGGAAACAGTTACTTCGTCATGCGATAACAATACCTAAAAGCGATGGTAGATCTGTCAAGCTGCCGATCTTTTTTTTTCGGATTTTGTGAATATGTGCAAAGGTCAGATTAGTCACGGAAAAAGTAGACTGATGGAATTTAAAGAAGACGTAAATGGTGACAGCAGTTAATTTGTTCAATTAGATACTCTTATACGATAGACACGATTCCTGTGAATCTCAGTGGTTTAGTTTTGACTATATTGCACTAACTGTTAAATGCAGTTTTGCAGCTGACTTACGATTCTGATTTCAAAGGTTATAATTACACAAATACGAAAGTACGAAGTTCTAGAGCAAGTTTTTTTTTTCTTCGCGTGATTCAGTAATGTTAAGTGGATTTATGGAAAACCCGACTTCGCGTAAT